AAAGACACATTTTGCCACTGGAATGAGAAAATTTACATTTAAAATAAGAAAATGCAATTGCCTTGTCTTATTTCAAGTGCATATTATCTAATTATCTTATTTTAAGATTAAAAATACTCATCCCATTGGCAAACTGTCTCATTTACCTAATCAAATTAAGGGTAAATACACTAGATTTAAAATTTGTTTTACTTAGTTGCAGATTGTTTTTGCAGTGTGAAATAATCATTAATTAACTCAGTAATCGATGAATCATTAACTGGAGTATAGAGACTGTAAAACCTGCCTTTAACGACTCACTTAGAGCAGGAATTATACCAAGATTGTTAAAAAAAATATATAAACATTTTGTATTTAAGATAAAAACAAATAATAATCATCTTTCAATCTGCTCTATAATCCAGAACTCCTCAAGTGGAAAAGTTTTACTTTCATCTGGTTTGATTTTATAAAAAGTCTTCTTTAACGAACCTTTGGCTTTCAGATTATTCATCGAAAAAATAATCTACAGATTATTCGATTGGGCAAGGTAATCATTAGTTTCATCCCTAAAGTGATTATTAGATTCTTTTTCCTCTAAATATCAGTCATAATTATAAAGGATAATTAGAAACCAGCTAAATGAAGCGGTTGATCAGTGATGGAAGCGTTTGATTGGCTGCCGCTCTGCTCAGCCTCAAGTTACCAGGAAGCTCCAGCACCATTAAACAACTGGAAACCAGTTTAACACTCGAGAAAAAGAAGCTAAATCTAGATAAGTCATTTTTTTTCTTAAAATAAGTGCATTTGTTCTTGGATTAAGGAAGTAAAAGAGACACTTTGCCAATTGAACAAGATCATTTACATTTAAAATAACTAAACATTGCATTGTCTTGTTTCAAGTGTATATTATCTAATTACCTTATTTAAGAGTAAAAATACTCATTGCATTGGCAAACTATCTCATTTACCTGCTCAAATTAAGGATAATCATTTAAGAAATTTGTACTTATTTCTAGATTGTTTTTCCAGTGCAGGTGAGAGACTGGCGGCTTCTAAACTAAAGAAAAAAAGAAGGAAAGGTGAGAAAAGGAGCCGCTGAACCAAAGCAAAGTGTTCTGGTTGCTTCGTGTTTGTTTCTCTTACAGGTTTTCAGTTATTCCGTAAAAATCTTTAATTCCTTAACTATTGATTGACGTAGATATAAAAGCTGCAGCAGGCTGTCAACTTTGTTTCCCAACTGATGTCAGTCATATCCAAACCAGAGCGTTTGCTGTTTTACTGTTTTTCATCATCAATAAAAAACATTTAATCAAGAATCAAACTGTAGAAACATGTTTTCATCGTTGCTTTTTCAGCCTCTAAGGAGCCGTTTGAATGTTGAAAGAGAACAAATGAAACCCTGGTTAATGCTGAACTATACTGGAGCTCCCATTAAATAAAAAAACTATTATCTGTTCTAGGTTGTGTCCCTCTCTTCTTGTCCCTTTTCTTCTTGTTTTCCTC